TTTTCGCGTGCATGATTCGCACTTTTTGGCGTATAATACGCACAAACTCCCACCCCCCTCCCCCCTAAACCTACCCCAGGGTTTTTTAGTGCATAGCATAAGCGCACAAAAAAACATTTTTGGCATATAAATGCCACGAGAAATGACATTTGTGGTATAGATACGCATCTTCATGTGTTGTCATTCTCTTATTTTTTTACCTCAGGATAGTGCCAAAATGTACCTCATGTTGTCTCAAACCAACTTTCTACAGTGGAACACAAAGGATGTTCTGAAAAATGTCATCTTTTGCATTTCACAGAATTCATACGAGTTTGGAAGGACATGAGGGTGACTAAATGATGAACTATCCCTTTAAGGGCCATTCAGAGGATTTGTTCAAACACACACATACTGTGTCCATGGAAGACAGAAGTTCTTTCTTTGCGTTCTGTCTTTTGTCCTCCTCCTCTTCATCTGTGCTGTATTCTTCCATGGTTTCCCCACTGGAGAAATGAATAATGCGGCGCGGGGTCTTCTCTTTTCTGTCTAGATCACCAAGCTCCACACACTCGTATTCTTTCTCTTTTCCAGAGCTCTGTCCCCAGGCGCACACACACACACACACATCACATATCATCAACATTAGGAATAAGTTGATTATGTACAAAATGATGGGGTTTTAAACTGAAATGAGGGAAGAACATTACTCAGTGTCATTACAAAAAAGAAATTAACAATGGTAGTTTACAAAACACCACAGTATTGTTGTGTTTGTTGAATTTATTCTAATATCAAATTAAATGTAGGCTACATGGGTCTGCTTAAAAAATAGATACAAATATGGTTCTGCTTCAAAACTTTCAGACATTCTCATTTCTTTATTAGACGACAGTTGATAGCTATGATACCATATCACTTTTTAGTATTAATGTAGTAACTTTTGGTGACAGGTTTTAGTTTCTATGTAAATAAGCATTTAAGCACTAATCAGTTTAATATGCTTGTTTTAGCTTTATAGTGATAGAAATGATTGGGACCTTGATTTTAATTCCAGGCGCAATGGGAATGCTTCAAAAATAAATAAATAAATAGATAAGTGATAACAGTAGCCTACAATAAAACTGATACATGCGGTCATGTAACGTAAATTGGTCAATAATTTACCTTGTCATCATTGTCCATATCATGTGTCACAGTTATACTGACGCTGGAGAGATAAAGGGATATTTCTGCCATTGTTATTGTGTCCAGTGCAGTAACTTCAACCTGTCCTGACTCCTGAGCGAGCGTGTCCATCACTACATCACTCCTGACGTCACAGCAGTCCAGCCAGTCCCCATGCGCAGACCAGCATACATTATCACATCTGCGCCATCTACAGTTTGGGAGCGTAATTTATTTTAGCCTACATTTCTTTGTTTTATTAATAATAAACAACCATTATCAACGTTAAACACACCCACAATAAACTCACAGGATAAACTCACAGAGAGAAAGAGAGAGAGAGAGAGCACATCAAATGAGCAAACTAATGTCTTTCAAATGGACAGAAAACAGTGCCAGTAATTACAGCACTGCTGTTGAATCTCCAGAAATACAATCCCTCATCCATTCATTCCAAATACAGGAATACCCTAAAAATCAATTCGGCATCAATCAGGAAGTACACGATCTAAACTACATATTCTACAAAACAGCACAAAAAAGTAATTTGTCAATTGTTAAACCAAAGAAAAAATATTTAGATACAGACAAATGGTTTGATTTGGACTGTAAGGCTCTGAGAAAAAACCTACGAAATTTATCAAACCAAAAACACCGACAACCAGATAATTCGGACCTCCGCCTTCTTTACTGTGAGGCATTAAAACAATATAAAGCCACACTCCGACGGAAAAAAGCACAGTTTCTGCAAAACCAGTTTGAAGAAATTGAAAAATCTATCAACTCACACAAATTCTGGGATAAATGGAAATTATTATACAAACCAAATCAAGAAGTTCTGGCAATCCAAGACGGGGAGAAGTGGAAAAACCACTTCCAAGAATTATACAGCCCGACTCAAATTCAAAACTATAAACAAAATGAAATAACTAATAAACTAGACAATTTGGAAAGATCAATTAAAGAAAATCAAAACCCTTTAGATTTCCCCATAACAATGAAGGAATTGGAAGATAAATTAGGAGCCCTTGAGCCCAAGAAAGCCTGTGGTGTCGACAGCATCCTGAACGAGATGCTGAAACACACGGACCAAAGCTCCAAACTGGCCATGCTGAAACTGTTCAATGATGTTCTGTGTGTAGGGTTCTTCCCTGAGATCTGGAACAAGGGCCTCATCAGCCCCATCCACAAGAACGGAGACAAATCAGACCCCAACAACTACCGAGGCATCTGTGTGAACAGTAACCTGGGGAAGGTTCTCTGCAGCGTCTTAAACACCAGACTTTTAGACTTCCTTATGAAGCTGTCGGGATGTGGTTTCAACTACAGCCGCCTGATGTTAGAATGCCACACTGATTTGTTGTCAGAGGTCTAGTTGAATACCATTACCCTGAGTCGTTGCGTCAATTTATCTGCCGATAGGCCCGGGAAAGGATGGAATAACTGGAGTACCATGCAGGAAATCGTTGAAGGTGAATTTATTGAGGACAGCTGTCTCAGCACACGTGCTCCAAATCAAGTTCAAAAATAAACAAAAGAAATCATCAAAAAAATAATCAAAATAAACATTACAAAACATAAATAAAACATGCTGAAAGCAGCAAAAACATGGCATCAAATCCAGCCTCGCGGAACAAACCTCTGACAATCACGACACATCCTACAGCATTGGACTGTACTAGTACTGGCACATGGCCCGTCTCTCCCCACTCAATTAGCCTCACTCCTTTATATATGCTATTTTCCCGCCAAAACTAGTGGGTCATACCAACTGTAGGGGTCGAATAACTCCCCTGACAATGGAAACATTCAATATCAGTGTTCTTGCATTTAAATCCAAACAGATACATAATCACAAATAATATCCTTAATCAAAAATAAACAATATGAAAACAATTATAACATTAAACAAAAAGACAATGTAAACAACAACACTGTGAACGGATGTTCACATGGTGATAACCTACAGGTTCATCATCACACACCCCCCTTCCTCTAAACAGTCACGACCTCAGGAGTGACGTGACAAAAAGTCAGCCATAACATTAAGCACTCCTGGTCTATATTGGATTTCAAATTTAAAAGGTTGCAGGGATAAATACCATCGTGTTATTCTTGCGTTAGTGTCTCTCATTCTCTTGAGCCATTGCAATGCTCTGTGATCGGTCTCAAGCACAAAGTCTTTACCAATCAGATAGTACTTTAACGTGTCCAAGGCCCATTTGATGGCTAGGGCCTCCTTCTCCACTGTGGAATACTTAGTCTCTCGGGGAAAAAGTTTTCTGCTTATGTACTGAACTGGACGACGGTTTTCTCCTTCCCCCTGTAACAGTACTGCCCCCAGTCCCAACTCAGATGCATCCGTTTGTACCACAAATGGCAACTCAAAGTTCGGACTTTGTAACACAGGGTCTTTACATAAACAGGACTTAAGATCTTGAAAGGCACGTTCACATTCAGGTGTCCACTTGACTTTAGTGGAACTGCTTTTCTTTGTAAGTTCAGTCAGTGGTGCTGCTCTGCTGGCAAAGTTAGGTATAAACCTTCTGTACCAGCCGATCAAACCTAAAAAGGATCTGACACTTTTCTTCGACGATGGAGGTGCACATGACAAAATTGCTTGTAGCTTGTCCACTTGAGGTCTCACTGAACCTCCTCCAGCAATGTATCCCAAGAAAGAAACTTCCTGTCTGGCTATCTGGCATTTCTTGGCATTTACCACCAGACCTGCCCGCTGAATTCTTTCAAACACCTTTGTCAAGTGTTCCTGATGCTGTTCCCAAGACTCGCTAAAGATGACGATATCGTCAATGTATGCTGCTGCAAAGCTGTCCAGACCCCTCAGCACTTGATCCACCAGGCGTTGGAAGGTTGCTGCGGCCCCGTGCAGACCGAATGGCATATACTTAAAATGGTATAGCCCTGCTGGAACACGAAAAGCAGTCAAGTTCTTAGCAGAATCAGTTAAAGGAACTTGCCAATATCCTTTGCACAAATCTAACGTTGTTAAATACTTAGCTTTGCCTAGTTGTTCGATCAACTCGTCGACTCTCGGCATCGGATAAGGGTCGAAAGATGATACTGCATTCAGTTTCGAGTAATCAACGCAGAATCTGAGCGTGCCGTCTTTCTTGGGTACCAATACCACTGGGCTGCACCATTCACTTGTTGAGGGCTCGATGATATCAGACTCCAGCATCATTTGCACTTCCTCTTTCAAGGCAGGGATCAGGCGTGCTGGCACTCTGCAGTGACTTTGCCTGATCGGCTCTGTTGCAAGCAAACGAATATCGTGATGCAAAAGTTTTGTTCTTCCTGGTTTGTCAGAAAAGAGACCCCCTGGAACTAGACTCTGGAACTCTTTTTGCTGTTTGGGTGTTAGATGATCAATTAGTGGGAAAGTTGAATTTGAACTAACAGGAAAATATTGTTCCTCCAATTCCTCTTCATCCTCCACTTTCCTCGCCCACAGCTGCTCTGACCATGAGCCTTTTCTCTCATTCCAAGGCCTCAAAAGATTAATATGGAAGATCTGAGACTTTTTTCTACGGTCAGGTACAGCAATCTCATAATTTGTGGGACTCAGCTTTCTAAGCACTTCATATGGCCCTTGCCATTTGGCCAAAAGAGAACTTTCTGTAGTAGGGAGCAATAACAATACCCTCTGCCCTGGGCTCAGTGTTCTTTTCCTACTTGACTGATCATACCAATGTTTCTGTTGCTGCTGTGCTTTTGTCATGTTAGCCCTCACAACCTCGGCCATTGAGTCCAATTTCTCCCTCATCTTCATGACATATGACAAAATGTTTGTTTTCTCACGTGCATTATCTCCTTCCCAAGCCTCTTTTAGCACATCCAACGGTCCCCGAACCTGACGTCCATATAGCATCTCGAATGGCGAGAAGCCTGTTGATGACTGTGGGACTTCACGATAAGCGAACATCAAATACGGCAACCATTGGTCCCAATCAGTTCCTGTATCAGACACAAACTTTCGTAACATGTACTTCAAGGTCTGGTTAAACCTCTCCACCATACCATCGGTCTGAGGGTGATAAGGAGTGGTCTGGATAGGATGTATGCGCAACATTGAGCAAACTTGTTTCATTAACTTAGACGTAAAATTAGTACCCTGGTCTGTGATTATCTCTTTAGGCAATCCTACTCGAGAAAAAAGTTGAACCAGTGCATTGACAACCTGCCTTGTCTTGATGTTTCTGAGAGGAAACACCTCTGGATAACGCGTAGCGTAATCAGCAACAACAAGAATGTACTTATTACCAGATCTACTCCTTTCCAAAGGTCCTACGATGTCCATCGCAATACGAGAAAATGGTATGTCAATAATAGGCAAGCTTACCAGAGGTACTCTGTCACTCTTTTTAGCTGGTCTCACCATCTGACATTCTGGGCATGATTTACAAAAATCGATAACGTCTGTATAGAGCTTAGGCCAAAAGAACTTACCAGCAATTCTCGCCAGTGTTTTCTGCTGGCCTAAATGTCCTGCCCAAGGTACGGAATGTCCCAATTGTAATACCTTCAATCTCATAGACTCCGGTACCACCAATCTCTCACCTTCAGCACTTATTAAGTACAACTTGTCATCCTTGATCACCAGTTGATCTTTCTGAATTAATGCCGACCTTGTACTATCAGCCTTAGCTTTCTCAAACAACGGTTTTAAAGTTTCATCCTGCCTTTGCAACTGCACAATATCATGAGGAATTTGTTCGAGATCATCTGAATTCGGTTGTTTCACATTTTCAATTACCTCAGTACCCATTACTTTATCCTGCCGTTTCTCCCTCCTAGATTTCCTGTTTTTGGAAGCCACATTGAATGGTAAATCTTGTAAAAGTTGTTTAGTAACCTCTTCTTGATTAGCCTGTGCTCTGGTTACAACCCTTGCATCTGCTACCTTGTCATCACTCTGCAACAAATCCACCAACACAGGTATATCTCTGCCTAATATCACTGGATAAGGGGATTTGTCAATTACTCCAACTGATAACTTATAGGCTTGGCCTTCAATTTCAATCACCATCTCCGTTTTAGGATACTCTTTTTCATCGCCATGTATACAACAGACTCTCAGCTTATCCTGTTTCAGCACATTTGACTTTCCCAAACACTCTGGTCTCACTAATGTCTGGCTTGAACCTGAATCAACCAATGCTTTAAACAACGTATTTCCAATCTTCAC